CATGGAATATGAGAACACGGGTTCTACTCAGCGTACGAACAAATCACGTCAAAACTAGGTACAGACCGGTGATAAAGAAAATCTGAACACAGGGTTATAGATAGTAAAGTAGCAACCTCTACGAATAAATACTCCAACTAGAGCTAAAAATGATAAATAGATCAAACAACTCTAGCATGACGATAAGCATAATATACCCCAGTCGGCCTTATGATCATATTCACATCACTCACTAATAGTCGTACCAACTTTATTCGGACTGTTGTCACTTACTATATGTGAGCTATTTGGTTATTTTTCCATTTTTCTTGCCCCATCATTATGTAAAATTTCTTAAGCACGTTTATTGGTGGGAAGCGTTACAATCTAGTAAGATTGCGTCATTTGAAATAAGTCACACAACTCAGCAGTATGTAGAAACTAGTATATTAATATCCGACAAATAAATGTCGACGTCCGGATTATTCGTTAATATTCGCGGAACAGTAGGTCTTTACAGTTCGGTATGTACCACTCCATAACAGTGGTTCAATCATTTGATCAGTAGAATTAGTTTGGCTGTTATCATCTCATTTAGATAAACTGGATAACGATAGATTGGTGCTTTACAACAGTAAGTACTTGTCAGATGAACAAATCGGATGCTAGACAGTTTTTTAACGGTTAATATCAGGTTACTATATACCCCTCTATCATGAAGAAATAGAGAAAGTCGTGCGGATGGATGGTAAATTTTCATGGAAAAGTTTGGACGTTCGATAGTTATTGCTGTAGAATTTAAGCTCTCAGAAGCTTTTATTCTATCCAAAGCATATTAAATTATTAGTGACTCTTAAGTTATTTAGGGACTCATTACATATATATATATTCTTATTTATAATTATTAAGCAACCAGACTACATATATCTATATCTTTCATCGTAGGCTTTCATTTGACTTACCGGCCACTATTATACAATTTTCGATTTATCATCAATCTATCAGTTACAGTTACTTATATTCAAAGCCACTTTCAGTTTTCTTTTGTATAATAATTATTTTTTTCATTTTATGGTGTGATGCGGTCTGGTCTGTTTGTATATAAAGTAAGTACGTCTGAAATATGTTATTCATATAGTGGAGGCGAATATTATGTTTTGGACTCAACGGACATGGCTAAGCGAGAAACTACTACAATGTCGAGGACCAATAAAGAGTTGATTCAAAGCTGTTAGTGTTGGTTGATGTGTCATTGGTTTAGCACATGGACAAGATCATAAAATCCGATATTCAGATCGGCGATTTCGTCACCTTTCTACCTCTAACGATACAGCTGGAAGATAGTGACCATTTAATAGGATTCCTAAAAGACTGGATATTCTGATATAACATATGAACCGTTTAAAAAAACTAGTGCCTAGTAACATCTAACGCGAATATTTGAGAGTGTGGTTTAGAATTTGACGTTGTTTGATGTTCCGATTTCCTAAACTCTGTAACACGAATATAGTTATGATTATTAGTTCTAGAACAGTCCGGAATCGAGCCAAGTTTTGTATATGACCGTTGAATGTTATCGTAATTCACAAAAACATCGACTTTTACACTGCATGATAGCTCGTCAGTTAAATACGTTACTCATTCAAACATTTGACTTTCTCGTACTACTTAGCTCAAGTTAGAAAAGGTATTAATATTGCAAGTCCTCAACTAACAGTTTTAAATTCATACTGTTGCTTATCGGAGCTATGTATATATCAGCTTACGAAAGAAAGCCAAATTGTATGTACATTATTATTATTATCTGTTTTTATAATATTAAAATACAAAATATGAAAATAATAACTATTCTCCTTCTCGTTGAGCCAACTTCCCATAACCACCTCGTTCGGCGTCATAATCTTTGCGGAATTCATCCCGTACCTATAGTTATTAAAAAACAGCACATTAGCATATATCGTTTTCTCTTATCAAGACTGACAATTGGTATGAATTTCGACATAAAACTAGTGTACAATACCGCCCACATGAACTAAACATTAAAATTTGATTGTAATCAAGAAAAATCACTAGCAGATTGCTTTTAGGCACAAAAATTACATTAAAAAAAAGTAGTTTCGACTTTAAAGGAGTTTAATACTATTTAGGAACACGGTTAAACAATAACAAGTTTCAAACTACCGAAAAAGTTTGGTAGTCTCATGATGTCCAAGAGTTATACTCCAACTGATATCAGATCGCTATTATAGCTATTCTTTTCAACTAACCGAAGCATGATAAATTACTCGGAGAATTTTATTGATATAAGACCAGATAGGTATATACAACATGTTCTTTGACACAATCAAAGGTCGACAGGTATCCCTTTCATGTTACCACCAACTGTGTATACAAATTTACATGTATCTGCCAAAGCAGTTACATTAATAGAACAGAAAGGAGAGCCTACGTCCGATTCAAAGAACATGTTCCGAAAAGTTTAAGATTAAATGGATTAAAAACATCCAGCAGTGCCATCGCAAGACATCTTGACACAGGACATGAAGTTGATATACTGAAGTCCTTCAAGGTGATTAACAAACAATCAAACTCCAACCTCTTGAAATTTGCCGAAGCAATAGCAGTTAAACGTCTGAAACCAGATCTATGTATACAAAAAGAGACAGTAATAAATCTTTCTTTACCCTGGTAACAATAACCCCCCTTTTTTATTCATTTATTTCTCTATTTATTTATTGCGTCATTACTCCAACTCTTTTAAATTACATCAGACATAACTGACTGATTTCAATTCATATTTTCTTTATTACCATTATTCTATTTTCATGAGTTCTAATCACTATTTCAATGTTCTGGAACTTTCCCTCTGAAACTCTATTTATTCGAGACAAAAATTTCATGACCTTATTAACTCTATCGAAATCTTCGCTACACCATGATACATTTATTCATCTTTAATCACCATCTTATGTATAAATATGTCAGTATCTGTAATAATTTTGAATTTCAAATAATTTAGGTTGTAAACAGCTGATGAGAACCTAACGAAATAAAATGAATTCCTATTATGGCGCATATATATTTGGTTCTCTCTTGTAGTAATATTTATGTGTCCAAATAAATAAATAAATAAAAATAAATAGTTAATAGTATTTCATAGAATACAATGATGTTTATTTCACAGATTGAAATCATGAGTCAGTTGAAGCTAGACCACCATTGAAAACCTGGAAGCACTGGACGGCCGTTTCGTCCTAGTATGGGACTCCCCAGCAGTGCGCATCCACGATCCCGCACCACGCGGGGCTCGAACCCAGGACCTACTGGCTTCGCGCGCGAGCACTTAACCATTAGACCACTGAGCCGGCATCCAACGGTGTTAATGTCTAACTTCAAACAATCCACGAAGTTGCGCCACCGTACACCATTGTCTTCAGTGAGTTCCTATCTCACAACAGACCTGGTTGAACTCCACTGGTAACGGCTTCTCACTAGAACTTCGGGAGTTTTTCCTGAAGTCAGTCACTAGTGAGCAGTTGATTATTATTATCAGAATGGGTTTTGTGGAGATTTTAGAAATTTCACAGATTGAAATCATGAGTCAGTTGATTAGCTTCAACTGACTCATGATTTCAATCTGTGAAATTTCTAAAATCTCCACAAAACCCATTCTGATGTTTATTTCATTGGGGTGTTAATGCTTCCGTAATAGCATTATTTTCAATTGTTTGACGTAAATAGTGCAAAAAGTTACTAATAATGATAATCGAATTGGAGGTAGTATTATAATTTAGATGATATTAAATAACTTGAAAGTAAATTAACAGGATTATTTCTTAACTAATTAAAAAGATTCATCATCTACGTCTGGTATCCTAGTAATCGTTCCAATTCTGGAGTCGATACTCGAACAAACTCCAGGATAAGCAGTCACATATATATTGCGCCAGAAAGCATCTCGCATTTTGACAAACTAAAAATGCCTTTCACTCAATGTTTCTGAAGAACAATGGAGAGAACTACGCTCCTTACAAAATAATAGAATGATTGTCATCACCAACCAAAGTCTTAACAACAAAGGTTATGAACAAAACAGACTATGAAGAAAAAGCCCTAAAACATCTATCTATGGGATCATTTATAAAAGTCGATTCAGAAAATCTTCAGATGTTTAAAAATAAAGTTAGGTCAGAGGAAAGTGAACTTCTAAAAGAAATAAAGCCTTTTATTGGCGTTTCCTTATGGCTTATTTCATATCACAAATCCAACATCACATCACGATTTTATGGAATACCGAAGATTCACAAACCTGACATTCCCTTAAGACCCATAGTAGGTTTCACTAATACCCCCATATGTGCTTTATCTAAATATCTAAGCAGTATACTGAAGCCACCTATATAATGTCTTAAAGGATTTATCTGTATTTAAAACAAAGATCACGAAATTATCTATCAACGAGAACGAAACAATGGCAAGCTATGATGTTGTATCACTATACACTAGTATCCCAATTGATAAATGTCTGGACCTTATTAATGGCTTACTTGAGCATGACAATATCTAGCAGATGTCCATTAGGCATTAGTTCAGTCATGAAATCTTTCGAACTATGCCAAATTTATTTTAAACTATCAAGTTCGACTATGGTATTGATGCCTACAAACGATATTTATAGTAAGAAAGTTGAGCTCATGTTTTTATTATAGGATCCTATTGACTAGTTTATCTCCAATTATGGATCAGACTGATTAGTAAGCACATCAAATGTATAAATCTTAAAGCCAGACATAAAAAAATTAACAAATACCGGTTAATCGGTCAGTTACAGTTTTGAAACTTCATTGAAAAAGTAAATTGAGACAAACTAATAATAAAAATTGGATATCCTATATTTTCGAAAGATATTTCTTTTCAGCCAATTTAAAATCACTAAATCGTTTTCAGGAACTAGAACACAGGTTAACTTTCTATCCACAAAAATATTTCGTCCCTTGAATTTTCAAACTTTCTTCGCGTCTCTCACATTCTAACACTAGTATTATGCATGCGAAAGGTACGATAAAATAACACAAGTGTAAAGAAATTTACACTAAATTACTGAGTAAAACACTTACCATTTAATTTTATATGACAATGACGAAATTCGCACAGTTACGTACTGCAATATATCATCCATTAGACAAATGAATATAAACGTCTGAAGACAAATCTGAGGCTGAAGAAACTATAAGAATCTTAGACAACCTACAGACGCACGGCATCCGTGTCAATCTGAAGTCAACCGTCATGTTGACAAAGTTAAGATATAAAGCAACAAGGGAAAGGTCAAACACATGTTCGTAAGTCAACTTGATAAAATGATTAGCATAAATGAAGATCATCAAAATAAACTGATCTTTAATTTGTGCAGAACTTTTGAGAGCTTTACCCTTTTTGAGGCTTGAGTTGCTTATGAGGTTATTGATGTAATTATTCCTTCATTTCCTATCATAATGTGAAATTTAGCAAATGGGAGATGTACACTTTCTTGAGGATCTAAGGTTTTAACGTCTAGTAGTACCTAACTAGCTTACAAGGCCTAAAAGTATGTAGTTAGTACGATTACGTATAATAACAAGAAATCAAGCCTTTTACCTGTCCACCACTTCTTCCCCGGCCATACTGTCTTCCTTCCTCGAAACCCGCATCCCAGTCTGTGCGAATTATTCGATCATCTAATCGAGTTTTGTTAATGTATCTCATGGCCATTTCCGCACCGTCTCGTGTACAATATTCCACAAAACAAAACCCACATGGAGTTTTATCAAATCTGTGTAAGCCCATAATAACGCGCTTGATTTCGCCGGCTCGGCTAAATAGTTCCCAGATTTGTTCTTCACGAGTATAGAAAGACAAATTCCCGATGTATAAAGTGGTCGTTTCTTTTAGACATTGAGATAATTCCCGTGGAGTAAACTGAAATTAAATTGTAGTGAGGGTTATAATATAGTCACGCTTTTTAGTACAACAGCACGACAGCTAAGACATGTAACCATGGGATAATAGTGAATAAATTATAAGAATATCATGCCATCGATTACTGAGGCATGGGTTAGAATTTCATTCGACCTGCTCCAGTTTGGAGAGCAGTGTGATTACCTCTCATAAAAAGTAATTTAAAGGCAATTTTAAGAAACCTATGATTGGTGCACGAATCACATTGTTAAAATCACGGCAGCACATGACTTACCTTTTTAGCTATTAGCCTTTTATTTATTCTTCTCAGTGACTTTCACTGCCATCCTACAGCTAACCGTTGCAATGCTAACAAAATGGTTTCATCTAGTCGTGGGAATGATTAGATCCTAAATACCTCGTATTTTAGCTTTGAGTAGTGGTGCAGTTCATTGAAACACATCAACGCAGAAATTGTTGACTTGAAGGTGATATACCGACAAAACTTTTATTAAAGATCGTCTGACGTTTATGAAGATAGCTCTAAAATCTACCTACATGAATATATATATATATATATATATATATATATATATATATATCAAAATGGAGAGTTCGTGGTATGTATACTGAATAGTGTTTAAATTAAAACAAAATTTAAGCCGACGAACCAAGTTTAACCACGTTAAATGAACACGTTGACATGGCTTTAAGGAAATAGAGTAAGTTATATGAATAACCTGGTCAACACTAGTTCTATATCCATGTAGGAACGATCTGTTAATATTTTCCAATGAGTTCCTTGAATCTATGAGTACTTCAGTGCTATTATTTTATCCAAGACTTATTTCAGAGTATATAAATTATATTCTGAATCCGCTTATTCCTCCCTAAATGTCACACACAATATCCACATAAACTGTTTCCACTTACGAGTGATGACCCTTATTTCGATATAATTTGCCAAGAAAACGTTATTTTAAGTTCTTACGTGGGATACGGGTAATAAACAGTTGTGTAACTAAAAAATATGAGCGTATAGTTCTGGCATAGCAATTTTGTTCAAAATACTGCGGATTTTCGAGAAGCGATACCTAAGAACTAATTGGTAACATATGATGTATTGCATCTGATCACAGCTGCGACAGTAATTTTACAACTGATAAACGTGATTTCAGCAAGAAGATATTTTTAAAGAACGGATATTTTGTGACTTCGAAAGATTGCAAGTACGGAAACAATACTAAATACTTTGTTACGATCGGCTGTAATGAAGAAAAATTTGGCATCCCAGCACTTACATCATTCCTTCTGTCACGGTACGGTGATTTATAAAATGAAGCATCTAAAATATCGCACACTGCTTTGTCTCTTGGCATACCGTACCGCGAGATTCGATAAACGCCAACGACCTGGAAGGTTTCAAACGTCCAATAATTTTGTTATGAGTTTGGATAAACCAACTAATTTCTTTGACCCTTCTTCCTGCCGAAAAAGGACGATTGCCTCAAAAATTGAATAAACGAATTGATCAGTTGTTAACGTATGCTAATTATCTACACTGTCATGAGCTTGTGTTTAAGATGCCACAGGTATTCGGAGTTTGACAACGCTTTAACCAGTAACATCTTCTAATATGAAGCGTACCCAGCTAGTGACATCAAAAGAAAGAAACGAGGAGGTTCAAGGATATATTTGATAGGCTATCAATATAGCGAGGATCGTCTGATCTAATCTGGCTAGCGATTGCAGGGGTTGTTGAGCACGGCGTTCCCACACGTGATCTGGTGCGGATACATGACCGAGCGCCTCCAGCTAGGTGAGTCCAATAAGACTGATGTGGTCAGCATCCAATGTCGAAAACTTACAGAGCTATCTATTTTGGGGATTTATATACCGCTACAGTATAAACTGATTGATTTCGTTGATCTTATTTTTTATTGTTTCGACACCGATCCGGGTATTCAATAATGTCTGGTCACTCGACTGCATACAGTATGAAAACACGAAAGTGTAAGAATCAGGCAGGAGCCGAGATGATAGTAAGCGGTGTTGGAATAAGTTAGTCGCATAGGATACTGACAACAGTGGGTAGACTCTGAGACATGCATCAGTCACATCTAATCCAAGCGGGAGACGGCAGTTCACAGTTAAGTACTGTTTCGCCAAATTTTCTCCTGAAGCTATCAACTGAAGCCTCCAATATTATGGATACCACCACGCGATTAGATCAGCAACGACGAGAGATAGAAATGAGAAAAAAATGGTCTAGGCAAATAGATAAGTGGGATCGATAATCATTATGGTACTGTGAGGAGAGTGAAACTAGTGAGCTTCACATCGTCTTGTGCAATTATCCATTGTCCCTAGCTGAATGTAATTCGTGGATTGGCACTCAATAGTTAGGTTATCCTTTGAAGTGGATATAGTTACGCCGGCTGAGAAAGAACTACAGAAAACACATGTTTAGACTGAAAGGACGTGAAATTTTGAGGGATTACCAGGTCTATGATGAGACATCATATAGTTGCGGTTTCGATCTCCATAGTGTCCTCAGGAGGGATAACTTGTCTTCATATACTGGGATGTTTGTTTGGAACATGTCCTACCTGTAGTTGTTCTGGGGAAACTGCTTACCCACGCCCGGGTTAAAGAGTAGAATTGAGTGGAGAGCGATCTTGCTAGAAAAAAATGCTAACCGAAAAAACAAATTGAACCTTTTAAACTCTACCCTGGAAGTTGATGAACCATTATTTAGGGGAGTTACGACACCTCGTGGTAAGCCCGAGGCTCTTCAGAAATTACGACACCGATGCCACTTCTAACAACCAAGGGCAACAATTAATTTAGGTACATAGAATGTCCAGAAAATGTGATAGAGTAGGAGAACTAATCAAACAGCTGTTGAAATAAAGCGATAAAACTTGACGGAATAAGTGGAACCCATTTAACTCAAGATGAACAGAAGGGATTAGATTCGAGAGGGATATCGTTGTACTGTGAACATAAATAATAAGCTGCTTCTCATACGCAAGGAGCCGCGCTAACGCTGCCCAAATAAGCTCGAAAAATATTTATGTATAGGGATCTCACGTTTCCAGTATCTTCAAAGCATCCTTCAAAATATGGAAGGGGAGATTACACTCAATGTTATCCAGTGTTATGCTCTCAACAATGAAAACAATGAGGACAATAAAGCTCAGCGTTATGAGAGGCTGCAGTCGACTGTAGAGAAGTGCCCAGGAAAAGATCTGACCATTGTGATAGGAGACCTAATCGCTCAGATCGTATTGACATCCTTGGGTATGAAGATACCATGAGACATGGACTAGGAGAAAGAGACAATAATGGTGAGACATTCGCAGGTTTATGAGCATTCAATAAAATGGTTATTGATGGAAAAAACCACAAGTGTCTCACCGGATCACAGTACAGTGAACCAGACCTACCATATCCGCATCAATATAAATTCAGAAGGTCAACGGAAGAATTGAAAACCAGGAGAGGAACTGGCATAGCTTCAGATATTATGGTTGCCAAGATGAAACTGAAATTAAGGAAGCATAGGAGAACTGGAGAAACAGCATTAAAAAATTCAATACAACCTTCCATCGAGATACTGACAAACGCAACGAATTCAAGATAGCTCTCAAAAACGAGTTCCATGAGTCACAACATCTACGAGAAGACGGAACCTGAAATGATTTCTTCAAGACACCTGTACAACAGTGAGCTGTTTGTGAATAAACATGGGAAGAAAAAATTATTATGAAGGACAACTAGGAAGAGATGAAATAAGCAATAACTTCGATGTTTCAATGCGCGTCAGGCCCCAAGAAGCACCAGCGCAAAGAATAGAGCTCTATTACTGTCCTGTGTAATATTCAAGACAGCGATTAACATTAGTTGAAGAAGAGCACAGAAAGCTAAGGTACAAGGGTAGTCACAGATGTAGACAAGATAGTGGAGAAGTGCATTAGAGCTGGCAAGCTAAAATACGTATAAGACATTGTAGAATCATGGTCTAGTTTGATATTAGTACTACTATAATAAAAGAAATAATTCGGAAATTGTAGATTTATTATGATATGATTTTTAATCTATAAGATCTTATGTGGACATCTCATCATTGTCTAAACTGACTCGTCTGGTCGTGATCGTCAGCAGTACGACGTCTATAATTTCCGAAAAAAACATATGAGCTTGGAAGAGAGCAATATATTTGATGGAAAAACCAAGAAGTTATGAAGGGTGATCACACGAGCATGACCAAACCATGCCATTTCGATTCATTGTCGCTGCAATCACTCTTGCTGACTTTCTCTCCGTCTTAAATGTTGAATATGATTTCTCTCATTTTTCTCATGTACACCTTTGAGGCTCATATGGTTGGCACTAACAATAATATTAATATTTTGGGACCATCTTCGACGTAAAGACGTACCTGGAAAGATCTACCTTATCAAACAGAATTCTTACAACAGACTACAATATAAAACCATTCATGGAGGACAGCTCAAAGGTGCACTCCACGTGAAACCAATGTCAGAAAAGGCTACCTAAGTTTCCTTTTTCTATTTCGACTGTTGACTGGATTATGAAGACCGTCAGGTCTGAAGGGAAGCATGGAATACAGTAGACAGCCTGGGTGCAACTAAACAGTTTGGATTTTGCAGATGACCTGGCTCTTTCGTCCCATACACAGCCACAAATGTGTACCAAAACAGTCAACGTTGTAGCAGCCTCTGAAGAAGTAAACCTCGACATATAAAAGGGCAAAAGCAAGATCCTCAAACACAGCAAGGAGAACACCAGCCCAATCACATTAGATAGAGATGCTCTGGATGCCGTGATAATGTTCAAATAACTGAACAGCATCGTCGAGGGACAAGAAGAGTCTGATGCTTAGATGGTGGTTGGAGGTAGTCAACAGGAAACCCTGGACCCGGGTTTCGTGCTACTTGGCACTCGTCAGCAAGGTGTACTTGTAATCTTGAGGGAACTGGTGCTCCCTGGCGGATTCGATCTCGTGTCACCCAGCTTCACAGTCAGAGACGTTACCACTGAGCTATCCGAGCCGCAACTGATTGATCACATTGCTACATTGCAACATGATCGATAGCATTCGATCTGCACTAATAAGGACTAGACAAACATGACATTGATCACCATCCAGTGATCAATCAATTGTGAGAGTCTGATGCGGATGTAAAGATATTTATTAGCAAAGTCAAGGAAAGGATCCCTAGAGTTGAAGATTTGGAACCCACAACAACTGTCAATCAATATCAAAGTCACAATCTTTAATACGAATGTCAAAACAGTCCCACTGTACGGAGCTGAAACTTGGAGAACTAGCACAATTATAACCAAGCAAGTATTTACAAACAATTTTCTATGCAATATACTCAATTTCTGTTGGATGAATGTCATTAGTAACAGCCTAGTGTGGGAGAGAGCACATCAACCTCCACCTGAAGGAGAAATTCGGAAAAGACACTGCAGGTGGATAGGATATACATGAGGAAACCATCAAACTGCATTACGAAGCAAGACTTAACTTGGAATTCCGGAAGAGAATTGGCACCAGCAACTTTGAAGCACACTTCTGTCAATGATTTTATTTTCGTTACAAGTGGTCTTACTCGGCATGTTGAATGATAACACTCATAACTGTTGTGCTCGTGCTCAAGTAGTCACACATAAACCAAAATTCAAGTCGGATAGAGCTCCACATATCACACCCGCAATGTCTGATTACATGTGCCATAAAAACACATGGGAAAATTTCTCTGCACATGTATTTCCCGTTGACCAATCCCCTGTCCCATTTTCAAACATTTCATTTCTTTTGTTGTTGATTGTATCTACGAATATTTTATTTCCTTTTTGATTTTTTTGCAATGGTTACTGAAAAGTTATCCACGGTTTCAAAACTATGTTTAACTCTTGGATGCTATTATGGCTTCGACAACTGTTTCACTCCTGTTCTACTCATAAGTTTTTAAGTCCTGAAGGCCTCCTTACACATTTGATTTTCTAGTTATCAGAAGTTTATTTTGAACGGTTGATTGCCGATTCGGATCCATTTCATTGATGGCAATTTTGTTTTTTGAACATACTGTCCCAGAGTTGTTAGGAATTTTTTGCTGATCGCCCGATAAGTATTGCATACTCTCTGTATTATTGGCTTACTGTTTCGTCGTTAATTTTACAAGTTTGTTGTTATTACAGGAAATCTACCTTCTAAAAATATATAAAGCTTGTTTAGTTGACTACACTTCTACATTCAGTAGGACTCATATACATTGTTTTGTGCAGCTTTTCAAGTTGCTATTCGGAATTCGACATCTAACTGAGGGACATTACTTCATTCTTCTTAATCCAGGTTTCGATGCATTATCGGAAACTTGGGATTGCATAACACC